GAGTGCGCGGCGAAGACAGGGATACGTTTAAACCGCTTTTAAAGCGTTTTTTTTAAAGAAACCCTTTAATATCTGTATATGGTTTTCTGTGGTATTCGCAATGAATATTCGTAAACTCATCCGAAACTAATGAAAATTCGGATTTCGCCTGAATCCAAGTTAAATTTCAGATCGGAATCCAAAAATATCTGAACTGAACATTTCCGAAGCTTACATGTCTATTCTCAACCATCGTCAGTACCTGACCTCACAAATGCTGTCATCACTGAATGGGCACAAATCCCCCCCAATATGCTCTAGTAAGGTTGGGCCAAATCCATGACTTTGAAATGTGATGTCCAACAAGTGTATACATACCCCACCCCTGTTTCCCAGAAAATAAGACCTAGTACTATTTTTGGGAATTGCTAAAATATAAGACCTACCCTGAAAATAAGACCTAGTTGTGACCATTCCCAGGGCCGGTGGTGGCATAAGGGGGAACTTGAAGAGCTGCGGGAGAGAATCAGCAGTGCCAACAAAGCCAGCACTAGAGGAAGCGAGGCGGCAGCGGAGGGAGCAGAGCCGCATAAGCCGATGCCTCCTCTATAGCGCCGGCTCCTGTCACAGGCGGAGTGATACCAAATGCACTCCGCCTGTGAGGTATCGATATTGAAAGTGCACTTCACTCATTCTGGCCAGCGATTTGTTTAGCAAATTGCTCTTGGAAAGGTACGGCACCCCTGATCACCATATTTGTGTACATGAATACATGTAGACTGTTGTACATGAATAAGTGTGCATTGTTGTACAATAAAAAAAATAAGACCTACCCCGAATATAAGACCAAGTGTGTTTTTTTGAGCCCCAAAAAATATAAGACAGAGTCTTATATTTCTGACCATCACATCTAAGACATAGACATAGTCTTAGATGTGATGGTCAGGTGTCCTTAAACATTTGGACATCTGTGGGGTTTATTTACTGTCAGGATATAGGCTGCTCACTTTGCAGTGGGAAGTTTTTCCCTTCGTTTAGTGAATGAGGTGAAGCTCTGCTTCCTTCCATCATCCAATCATGTGCAAGCATAATTACTGTTTTTTTCATCTTCGCTGCATGTGATTGGTTATTCTTAGCAAAGTGAACTTTCACCTCATTCACTAAGCTAAGAGGAATCTTCATCTGCAAATTCCCTTGCAAAGTGAAAAGCTTATTTGCCTTTAGTAAATCAACCCCAATATGTCCCAACGTTTGAGGACACCTGACCGTCCATACATGGTGTAAAAGGAGAGGAAAAGCTCACTGAAAATTGTGAATGTAATAGACATGTGCGATTATTTAGGAAATATTCATTTTTCGGACGAATTTTCGTTATTCGGATGACAGAAACGTCGAATGAAAACATCCGAATTTCCGAAAACTAAATTTCGTACAAAATTCGTTAGCATTAGTCTTTGTTGCAGCAAAGTGACATTTACATTTTTTATTTTACTGTTACTTTACTGACACGAACGAAAACAAATATTCGTTCGGACTACCGCTAATGAATTTCGTCCGAATCCCGAAACGAATTGACTTTCGGACCCAAGATAACGCAAAATCTGAATCAAAACAATTTTTTTTGGCCGGTGCACATGTCTAGAATGTAATAATGTCTACATGGGTGACTCACTCATGTTACTATACTCATGTGCGATTTGTTTCGTTCTTAATCAAAATTAATACGAATTTTCCCAAATACATCCGAATTTCTGAATCCCAATGCCAATCTGAAGTTTTCGGAACCTGTCCGAATTTCGTTTAAAAACTAAATGGAATCGGACATGTGACTTTTCTGGCCAATCAGATGTGTTTTTCGGTTTAATGCATCCAAATGGGTCTGAATCCAAATTCTTGGAGCCTCCGTATATATGGCTCCCAATGTTGCCACAACGAATATTTGTAATACAGATTACTAATTACAGTTTGTCACACTCCAAACTCCACTATGGTGAAGATCAAAGAGCTGTCGAAGGACACCAGAAACAAAATTGTAGACCTGCCCCAGGCAGGCTGCCCCTTCCAAATAGCATTTGGGAGCTCCCGAATAACCCACACCCAGGTGACACTATTGGAGGGGCGTCACCAAAATGAGTCATTTTGGCGTCACCCCCTCTGAAATGTCGGGCACTCGGTCATGGACAGACCGAGTGCCCGGTCAGGAGAGAGGAAAGGGCCTGGCGGCATACCTCATCCTGCCGCGTGAATGTCCCCTCCTCTCTCTGCCAGCGTCCATCAGTAAGATCCAGTAATGGCACTTCTAACCATTTACATCTGAGTCCTTTCTAAACACACTCCATCACAATAGAAATATTGTTAATGCTTGTTAAAGTCCATCAGTAAGAGGGCCCCCGGCAGGCGTCAACTAGATTACCGTGCATGCACGATGACGTCACGGCGGCGTCTCCGCTCAGGGTGACACCCGGCCTCGGAAACGCCCCGGCGATAACCAGTCGGGTCTGGAAGCCTCAGCTTTAATATTTTGTATGCATATGGCTACCAGACCCGTACTGCTTTCTGGAGCTCCTGAATGGTATTCGGAAATTCGGATCCTGAATGCTTTTCGGGTCTAGGAGCCTCAGCTTTAGTATTAATATCTGTATCTGGTTTTCTGTGGTAGTCGCAACGAATATTCGCAAACTCATCCGAAACTAACGACAATTCAGATTTTGTTCGAATCCAAAACCAGAACTGAATTTTGGATCTGAATCCCGAATTAATGAAAAATAAATGTTTCCACAGCTGTCTACTACAATCCAACATGGTGGATCTCTTTGCTTGTATCACAATAGTTATAATGTGAGCTGCTACCTTAGAAGTTTCAGTAGCACAAGTGAGTGATCTCTCTCCTCCTTTCTTATTCATAGACTTGAATGGGAGTTGCATGCGACTCATCAGCATGTGACCCATCAAAATTGTGAGTGATCATAATGGTGGAATGATGATTCTAGGGTGATGTTTCTTATCAGTGATGACTGAACTGCTCTGGGTTCTGTTCACTCGGGGTTCAGCAAACATCCAAGTTAACCCGAACCCAGGGCCTCCTGTGTCCTAACCACCAATAATGCCACGCACCCTGCACAGCATCACTGGTTGTTAGGACTCTAGCGGATGTGCCGCAGTTCGTCATTAGTTGCTAGAACGCAGGCTGTGAGGCAGCCGGTGTCCTAGCAACCAGTGACGCTATGTGACTCGTACTGTGTCATTGGATGCTAAGACGCTAGCGAGTTTGATGTTCTCTGGAGTCTCCTGGCTGATTCGCAGTTCTGAGCTATGGGGACTCCTTACCGATTCTTGGTTCTGACATCACGAGTCTCCTGACCGATTTTTAAATCTGACCCCTGGAGTCTCCTGACCCATTCTTGGCTCTGACCCCTGGAGTCTCCTGACCTATTCTTGGCTCTGACCCCTGGAGTCTCCTGACCGATTCTGGTTTCTGACGGCTGGAATCTCCTGACTAATTCGCAGTTCTGAGCTATGGGGACTCCTGACCGATTCTTGGTTCTGACATCAAGAGTCTCCTGACAGATCCTTGGTTCTGACTCCTGAAGTCTCTTGACTGATTCTTGAATCTGACCCCTAGATATTTCTGACAGATACTTGGTTCTGACCCCTGAAGTCTCCTACTAATTCTTGGTTCTAAACCCCTGGAGTCTCCTGACCGATTCTTGGTTCTGACCCCTGGAGTCTCCTGACCGATTCTTGGTTCTGAACCCTGGAGTCTCCTGACCGATTCTTGGTTCTGACCCCTGGAGTCTCCTCTCCGATTCTTGGTTCTGACCCCTGGAGTCTCCTGACCGATTCTTGGTTCTGACCCCTGGAGTCTCTTACTGATTCTTGGTTCTGACTCCTGAAGTCTCCTAGTGATTCTTGGTTCTGACCCTTGGAGTCTCCTAGTGATTCTTGGTTCTGACCCCTGGAGTCTTCTACTGATTCTTGGTTCTGACCCCTGGAGTCTCTTGACCGATTCTTGGTTCTGACCCGTGGTGTCTCTTGCAGGGCTGGATTTCCCACAAGGCCAACCGAGATCCGGCCTCGGGGCAGCAGAGAGTAGAGGGGCAGCAGGGGTGTGAAATTCCTATATCCCCCACGCCCGCAACATGCAGTTCCGAGCGCCAGGCGGGTAGTTGTTTTCTACCTTTAGCCCGGCTTTGAGCAAGCAGAGATAAATAAATGTACATCGGGGAAGCCGCCGCTTGTTCTGTTCGAGTGATCTCGCCGGGAAAACTTGTATGCAGCCTGCGTACAGGGGGGCACATTGAGGAACCTGGCATTGGGGCAGCAGAGAGAGTAAATTTGGCCCTGGTCTCTTGACCGATTTTTGGTTCTTGACCCCCGGAACCTTCTGACCCATTCGTTAGTCTATTGGCTCCATACAGATGAGGGTTGTTGAGGAACAGCATTGCCGTCTTCACCACAAAGATCCAGCACAGAAATAAACGTCATCCGGAAGGCGAATCCTGCCCAGTGCCTGGCACATCTCGTCCACCATGGCACATTCCCGTCCACCACGGCACATCCCCGTCCACCATGGGACCGTAGTGCATAGTTGTGGGGCGGTGGTGGAGGATTTCACTCCCGGTGGAATCATCTTACTAGAAAGTTCCTTGAACAGAGAGAAATGGAGGCTGCTATAGCTGAGCTCCCTCTGAAAATACTACTTGCCTGGCTGCCTCTAGCAGCATATTCCTAGTCACAGGGAATTCTGAGGGAAGTCAGAGCTCTAGAACAGTAGTCATAGGATGACAGCCGGGGAACCTTCATTGCCTGTAAGGTAAGGGGGGGATGGTCAGCTTCCAGGCACTGACAGGCGCGCTGCGCGCACACTGAAGGCATTCCACAGCTTACAAGAGCGTGCGCAGCTCGTGCTCTTGCACAGCTGTCCGCCGGTGATGTGTCGAAAGTGCGGGACACCGCCTACTCCAACACGTCACCTCCCCTGCGACCCGGTGACGTCATCTGCCCGGGGCCGGCCACTGTCACTGAGCTGGGAGGTGGACCGCGAGGAGAGCAGTTGGCTGATTAACCCTTTCCTGAGGCTGGTAGGGGCGGAGCTCCATGGGGCTGAGGAGGGGGGCCCGGCCACACCGGCAGGTGAGACATCGACACTGATTCTCTGCGTTACACTGTGCCCATTCCCCCATACATGCATTGACATCACTGTGCCCCCTCCCTCACTGACATCACTGTGCCCCCTCCCCCTATATACACTGACATCACTGTGCCTCCCCTATATACACTGACATCACTGTGCCTCCTCCACCTATATACACTGACATCACTGTGCCTCCCCTCCCCCATATACACTGATATCACTGTGGCTCCTGCACCTATATACACGGACATCACTGTGCCTCCCCCCCCCCCTATACACTGATATCACTGTGGCTCCTGCACCTATATACACGGACATCACTGTGCCTCCCCCCCCCCCTATACACTGATATCACTGTGGCTCCTGCACCTATATACACGGACATCACTGTGCCTCCCCCCCCCCCTATACACTGATATCACTGTGGCTCCTGCACCTATATACACGGACATCACTGTGCCTCCCCCCCCCCCTATACACTGATATCACTGTGGCTCCTGCACCTATATACACGGACATCACTGTGCCTCCCCCCCCCCCTATACACTGATATCACTGTGGCTCCTGCACCTATATACACGGACATCACTGTGCCTCCCCCCCCCCCTATACACTGATATCACTGTGGCTCCTGCACCTATATACACGGACATCACTGTGCCTCCCCCCCCCCCTATACACTGATATCACTGTGGCTCCTGCACCTATATACACGGACATCACTGTGCCTCCCCCCCCCCCTATACACTGATATCACTGTGGCTCCTGCACCTATATACACGGACATCACTGTGCCTCCCCCCCCCCCTATACACTGATATCACTGTGGCTCCTGCACCTATATACACGGACATCACTGTGCCTCCCCCCCCCCCTATACACTGATATCACTGTGGCTCCTGCACCTATATACACGGACATCACTGTGCCTCCCCCCCCCCCTATACACTGATATCACTGTGGCTCCTGCACCTATATACACGGACATCACTGTGCCTCCCCCCCCCCCTATACACTGATATCACTGTGGCTCCTGCACCTATATACACGGACATCACTGTGCCTCCCCCCCCCCCTATACACTGATATCACTGTGGCTCCTGCACCTATATACACGGACATCACTGTGCCTCCCCCCCCCCCTATACACTGATATCACTGTGGCTCCTGCACCTATATACACGGACATCACTGTGCCTCCCCCCCCCCCTATACACTGATATCACTGTGGCTCCTGCACCTATATACACGGACATCACTGTGCCTCCCCCCCCCCCTATACACTGATATCACTGTGCCCCCTCCCCCTATATACATTGATATCACTGTGCCTCCCCTCCCCCATATACACACACATTACTGTGCCCCTCCTCCCATATACACGACTCTGATCTTTGTACCTGTGTATGTGTATATTGTTGTGTCACATGACTCTTTATAAGGGAAGTCATTGGTTGCCCGTAGCAACAACAGAACCTCCGGCTAATTGTTACACAGCCGCCCTCCTATTGGCTGCTTCATGAACCATGTCTGTGCAATGTGTTTCATACAATGGAGGGGAATTTATCAAAAACTGGAACAGACAGAATCTGGAGCAGTTGCCCATGGCAACCAAGCAGCTTCTCTCTTCAGTTTGTTCAGGAAAGATTTGAAAATGAAAGAGAGAAGCTGATTGGTTGTCGTGCACAGCTGCTCCAGTTTTGACAATTCCCCCTCCGTATGTTTTCTCATCTCTGTTCATAGAGGATTCCGGTGTTCAGCGTCTCGTGTAATGGTCTCTGTACAATCGGGGTAGGAGATGATAGCAGAACTCTGCACCAAGGTCAGTCCGCAGGTACCAGGCCCCGATAAATCTTCTCCCCGCTCGGCATTAATCATTAACATGTTTCTGCTGAGAGCCCAGATATCGGCGTCACTGTGACAACGGGCAGCCGTGACTCCACTCAGAGGTTCCATTTCCATTATAGGGGGAGTCACCAGTCACCACCAGCTGGCTTCCTCTGTCTACAGGCCGTTGTGCACACTATGGAGCTCTGTGTGTTCTGGCGTCTCCCCTTTCACCATTGGAGGGACGAACATCCCAGCATTACGGACCTCCTCCTGTAATGCTGGCGGTGTGAAGACATTTGTCACTGGTTGTTAGGACTACCAAGCGGCCCTAGCAACCAATGACTGCAGAGGAGATGGACTCTGAACATCATTGTTTGCTAGGACACCGGCGGTCCTAGCAACCAACTGAAGAGGAACGCGGTCTGAACACGGACTTATTGCCGACCTGCCCTGGGCTATGTCTTGCAGTGAATGCACTAGCCTTGGAGGGCAGCTTATCCACTGTCAGCCAGGAAGACCTTTGTCACTGGTTGTTAGGACAGCCCAGTAGCCCTTGCAACCAGTGACTGCAATGAGACAGACCCTGGACGTCATTAGTTGCTAGCACCACCCAGCATTGCTAGCAACCAGTGACTGCAATGAGACGAAGCCGCAGTACCTGGCGTTTGGGATTCCTCAGGAAGGAACCGGAATGGCAGCTTGTTGGTAATAAAAGCAGAAATGAATGACCCCGGGCGAGGATTACTCTGCGATCAGATTATGGCGGGCTGCTCTCTTTGAAGATGAGGCTGGCACAGTCATGTCTGCCATGTGAGAGGATAATAGCCGAGTGTAATGAGGTATAATAGGACCGATTAGTAGAAGGGCGGCATGTCACACGACTCATTTTCAGAAGCCGCTTTGATCCCATCTTGTAAAATGCACTTTTACTCCAGTCAATGGGTGTCGCTGCCAAGATCTCTGAGCGTGCCGGGATTCAGGGGTTAAAGCTGAAGTTTAATCTGCGTATATTTTCCTTCCCTGGTTCCTCCCCTCCCCCCTCATCAACAGGCTGATGACATATATGAATTAAACTTTTTCATTTTTATGACATAACTTATTTTAGTCCCAGTGACATCATCACTGGGCTCTGTGCTTCTCTATGTCTGGCTGGGTGGGAGGGGCTGGCAGGGTGCTTTACAGAGCTTCCTGAAAACATTGCAGCACCCTGCCTCTGTTCTGCTCTTAAGAGCCCTCAGTCTTGATGCAAGCAGTGGGCTGGCTCTTGGGAGGAGCTATGCAAATATCAAAATACCTTCATGAATGGGTGTGTGGAGGATTGGGCTTCCTTAGGCAGACTGATTTGAATGCAGACCACTCTAGGTAACGCCCACATGTGATGCTGAGCTTTCATTATTGAAAGTGGTGGACCAGGGGGAATCAGGCTGGGGAGGAAAGTGCTAGATGATGCTGGATGTCCCAGGAAATGAGATGGGCTCTCTCTGACTTGCTGCAGCGTCTTATTCTCATTGCGAGAAGCTCTCAGTGTGCAGTGACTTCAGAGTAAGAAATTTCAGTCCAGGAGAGGAGCCGGTACAACTGTGCAAGACTGAAAGGAAGGAAGGGGGTGTCAGATAGAAGACTGGAGGGAAGGCCGGGGGGGTCAGATAGAAGACTGGAGGGAAGGCCGGGGGTCACTTCCAGCTGACATCATCACTGATCTCCAGGTGAATGAAACAAAGTAAATACAACAGTAATAATGTTACTTTGTATCTCTCTATCCCCCACTTCAGGGGTTGCCACACTTTGGCCATCCAGCTGTGATGAAACTATAAATCCCATCATGCATTAACCTCTGGTAGTCCTGCTTGTGGCTGTCAGAGTATTGCAATGCCTTATGGAACTTGTAGTTCCTCAAAAACAGCTGGAGGGCTGCAGTTTGGCTCCCCTCGCCCTGTCTGAACAGTGTGTCAGAAGGTCCATTTTTGACAGCAGCTGTTGTATTTACACATCAACTCCCGGCTGTCATTTTGACAGCCAAGAATTGCCAGCAACTGCAAGGTGGAGGGAACGGCAGTGGAGTGAAGGGCGGATGTACCAAACACGCCCTGTGTATGTCGATGAAGGCACGCCCACTGAACAATGCAAGATGTGATCATTACCTGTATTGTGAATATTGGTGAGGATGTTCTCCTCATACACTGTGTGTTCTCTTGTGTTGCAGAGCCATGGTGTCATGGAGGGGAATTTACTTTGTATGCTCTCTGTTCCTGGGAAGCTTCTTTGGCAGCATCTTCATGCTGGGCCCGTTCCTGCCTTTGATGTTGGTGTCGCCCAGCTGGTACCGATGGATAACAGACCGAATCGTAGCTACATGGCTGACGTTACCTGTGGTAAGAGTTCTGTGTGTTCCTGTACAACGTCCTGCCGCCCCTTTTCTATGGTTCGTCCTTATATGTGTTAATTACTATTGTATGCGTGATCATGGATGTCTGTATTATGTATAACATAACTACATCCTATACAACTATTCTGTAGAACCGTATGCTGTACAGCCATGTGCTCCACAACCGTATGCTGTACAGCCATGTGCTCCACAACCGTATGCTGTACAGCAGGGGTGCCCATTAGGTAGATCGCGATCTACCAGTAGATTGCAAAGTGAACACTGGTAGATCACGATCGGCTCACTGACCTGTGTCCTGTCCTCCCAGGGTGCTCGTGCGGCTGAATGTGTCAGACGCTGCAGATGGGAAGTAAAGAGGAGAGGAGACTTGGGAAGCTGCTGCAGTGTAAGTAAGAAAAGACAGACAGGAGAGAGACAGCAGAGAAAGTGAGATAAGAGACAGCAGAGAAAGTGAGATAAGAGACAGCAGAGAGAGTGAGAGACGAGACAGCAGAAAGAGAGAAGAGACAGCAGATAGAAATAGGGGAGAGAGAGGAGAGAGGGCCCGTTCACACCACAAAGTCTGCGTTCCAGAGTGTTCGGCCTGGCGGCGCATTGAAGTCAATGGCACCACCGCCACGCCCTCACTCTGATCATCCACACCCGGAACGCAGGCACATTAATGCCTGCATTACGGTCCAGCGCAATCTGCAAAAATGCAGCATTTTTGCAGATTGCACTGGACCGGAAAGCAGGCACTATGGTGCCTGCGTTCCGGGTGTGGTGATTGCACTGGGGGTGTGGCTGCGGTGCCATTGACTTCAATGCACTGCCACGCCCCCTCCCGCCCCTGAATGCAGGTGTTTTTTCATTGGTAGATCTCATTGAGCTCGTCATTTGAAAAGTAGATCTCCAGACGAAAAATTGTGGGCGTCCCTGCTGTACAGCCATGTGCTCCACAACCGTATGCTCTACAGCCATGTGCTCTATAGTCATGTGCTCCACAACCGTATGCTCTACAGCCATGTGCTCCACAACCGTATGCTGTAGAACCAAATCCTATACAGCTATATGCTATACAACTGTATGCTCCACAACCGTGTGCTCTATAGTCATGTGCTCCACAACCGTATGCTGTAGAACCAAATCCTATACAGCTATATCCTATACAATATCCTATACAACTGTATGCTGTACAACCATGTGCTCTTTAGTCATGTGCTCCACTAAGGCCGGGGGTCACTTCCAGCTGACATCATCACTGATCTCCAGGTGAATGAAACAAAGTAAATACAACAGTAATAATGTTACTTTGTATCTCTCTATCCCCCACTTCAGGGGTTGCCACACTTTGGCCATCCAGCTGTGATGAAACTATAAATCCCATCATGCATTAACCTCTGGTAGTCCTGCTTGTGGCTGTCAGAGTATTGCAATGCCTTATGGAACTTGTAGTTCCTCAAAAACAGCTGGAGGGCTGCAGTTTGGCTCCCCTCGCCCTGTCTGAACAGTGTGTCAGAAGGTCCATTTTTGACAGCAGCTGTTGTATTTACACATCAACTCCCGGCTGTCATTTTGACAGCCAAGAATTGCCAGCAACTGCAAGGTGGAGGGAACGGCAGTGGAGTGAAGGGCGGATGTACCAAACACGCCCTGTGTATGTCGATGAAGGCACGCCCACTGAACAATGCAAGATGTGATCATTACCTGTATTGTGAATATTGGTGAGGATGTTCTCCTCATACACTGTGTGTTCTCTTGTGTTGCAGAGCCATGGTGTCATGGAGGGGAATTTACTTTGTATGCTCTCTGTTCCTGGGAAGCTTCTTTGGCAGCATCTTCATGCTGGGCCCGTTCCTGCCTTTGATGTTGGTGTCGCCCAGCTGGTACCGATGGATAACAGACCGAATCGTAGCTACATGGCTGACGTTACCTGTGGTAAGAGTTCTGTGTGTTCCTGTACAACGTCCTGCCGCCCCTTTTCTATGGTTCGTCCTTATATGTGTTAATTACTATTGTATGCGTGATCATGGATGTCTGTATTATGAATAACATAACTACATCCTATACAACTATTCTGTAGAACCGTATGCTGTACAGCCATGTGCTCCACAACCGTATGCTGTACAGCCATGTGCTCCACAACCGTATGCTGTACAGCAGGGGTGCCCATTAGGTAGATCGCGATCTACCAGTAGATTGCAAAGTGAACACTGGTAGATCACGATCGGCTCACTGACCTGTGTCCTGTCCTCCCAGGGTGCTCGTGCGGCTGAATGTGTCAGACGCTGCAGATGGGAAGTAAAGAGGAGAGGAGACTTGGGAAGCTGCTGCAGTGTAAGTAAGAAAAGACAGACAGGAGAGAGACAGCAGAGAAAGTGAGATAAGAGACAGCAGAGAAAGTGAGATAAGAGACAGCAGAGAGAGTGAGAGACGAGACAGCAGAAAGAGAGAAGAGACAGCAGATAGAAATAGGGGAGAGAGAGGAGAGAGGGCCCGTTCACACCACAAAGTCTGCGTTCCAGAGTGTTCGGCCTGGCGGCGCATTGAAGTCAATGGCACCACCGCCACGCCCTCACTCTGATCATCCACACCCGGAACGCAGGCACATTAATGCCTGCATTACGGTCCAGCGCAATCTGCAAAAATGCAGCATTTTTGCAGATTGCACTGGACCGGAAAGCAGGCACTATGGTGCCTGCGTTCCGGGTGTGGTGATTGCACTGGGGGTGTGGCTGCGGTGCCATTGACTTCAATGCACTGCCACGCCCCCTCCCGCCCCTGAATGCAGGTGTTTTTTCATTGGTAGATCTCATTGAGCTCGTCATTTGAAAAGTAGATCTCCAGACGAAAAATTGTGGGCGTCCCTGCTGTACAGCCATGTGCTCCACAACCGTATGCTCTACAGCCATGTGCTCTATAGTCATGTGCTCCACAACCGTATGCTCTACAGCCATGTGCTCCACAACCGTATGCTGTAGAACCAAATCCTATACAGCTATATGCTATACAACTGTATGCTCCACAACCGTGTGCTCTATAGTCATGTGCTCCACAACCGTATGCTGTAGAACCAAATCCTATACAGCTATATCCTATACAATATCCTATACAACTGTATGCTGTACAACCATGTGCTCTTTAGTCATGTGCTCCACAAACGTATGCTGTATAACCATGTGCTCTTTAGTCATGTGCTCCACAAACGTATGCTGTATAACCATGTGCTCTTTAGTCATGTGCTCCACAAACGTATGCTGTATAACCATGTGCTCTATAGCCATGTGCTCCACAACCGTATGCTGTACAACTATATGCTATTCAACTATATGCAGACTAGGAGATACACCAACCAGTGTTTTAGGCTGGCTTCAGACCTTTCAATACATGTTGTCATGTGTTTTACATGTGTTTCAACATGTGTGTTGATATGTTTTGATGTACTTTTTAATGCCTTTTCCTTGGTTATGTCATTTCCTGTGCATAGCAATGTGTGTTGTGTTTTTGTCAGCTAATAAATGGAGCACCTGAAAAGGAGCCATGCAAGGGCCTTGTAACCATTATTGGCAGCACTTTAAAGCCTATCTCCAGGAACCCCCCCTCCCCCTTTGCAGTAGGGCCACCCCAAAACTAAAAGGGTTAACTGTTCGTTAATGTGTAGGGGACCCGTTTACAGGAGTTACCGGAACCCCGCTCCCGAAGGCTCCAGGGCCGGCATCAGCCACTGTCCCCTCTCCTGCCCTAACATGGTTGGAGGCCCACTGGCATCATCATGTGCAATGCAGGACCCAGAACCTTGCATTGTATGTAGGACGCCAAGGGACAGTCCACATGTTGGAGCATAAGGGAGATTAGGAGAACGCGAGTGCTGGGGAAGTGGGGATTTGGTAAGGAAAACTTCTTTACACAATACTCATAGACATAAACGAGCAGTTAACCCTTAAAGTGCACCCTTCTATAGTAAAGCTGTAAAGTTTTGTTAAAATCAATTCCATCAAATTGGCCCGTGTATGGCCACCTTTAGAATGACTCCTTATTCATCTGTTATCTCCTCTTCTCGTCCTGGCAGGCTTTGTTGGAGCTGGTCTTCCGCGCTAAAGTGGTCATCACTGGGGATGGATTCATCCCCGGAGAACGCAGCGTCATCATCATGAACCATCGCACCCGGCTGGACTGGATGTTCCTGTGGAACTGTTTACTGAGATACAGCTACCTCAGGCTGGAAAAAATTTGCCTCAAATCCAGCCTCAAAACCGTCCCAGGATTCGGTACGTCATAGATTTCCGTTTATAAATAGTTCACGCACATGAAGGCATCAGCTCTTTCTGCTTTGTAAAAGAGTACCTGTCACATTTGGGAAGATGAGCAGAGAACAGTAGACACTAGGGCTTGTTCACTATTCCTACGCAAAGTGCAGTAACTCATAGCAACCAATCAGATTTCGTTTTGCCAAAGTCAGATCAGTCAAAAGTTAAAGCTGGACTCTGGCCCTAACTACTGCGAGTTTCTCACAATGTGCATTAGAAGCTGCAGGAAGGCAGATAGAGCCCGCCTCATTTCCTGGCTGAAGGACATCCAGCATCATCTATACAAAACACAAAAATTCCCAGCCTCAACCTGCCAGCCAGCCTGCAACCAAACAAGTAGCCCTGTCAACAGTATGCGTTAAAATCAGAGGTTTAGTTGCACAAACATTTGGCCAAAAATATGTAGAAGCCACAATGCCGCGCCAAGGCACCTCTGCAAAGTGTGGTCCTAACTCTATGTATCCGAGTCTCCAAGTGTGAGCATATTAATGAAGTTGATAAATTACATGCAGGTGTACCTGGAGGTAGCCAACTCCTCCTAATAAGGTGCAGGGACGCACTGGAGGCCCAACAACCAAAAATGCACGCTGGGACTCCAATGCGTCCCCCAAACCAAAAATAGTCAAACTAGAAAAAATGGTACATGCCTGAATCTATAACCGGCTTTTATAGCAGGGCGCACATTGGGAAGGCTTACAACAATACAAAACACAAAAATTCCCCAGCCTCTTTTCCATCCAGCATCATCTACCTCAGGGGTGCCCACAATTTTTCGTCTCTAGATCTACTTTTCAAATGACGAGCTCAATGAGATCTAAAAACAAAAAAAAAAACACCTGCATTCAGGGGCAGGAGGTGGCGTGGCAGTGTATTGATGTCAACCGGCATAACTATTCAGCATCAACCAGCTCTTTGCACCCAAGCCTGACTGCCCCTGGCCCGTCCCTTTTTATTCATTAGATTTCAATACCGAAAGCTCAGCATCACATGTGGGCATTGCCTACGGCTGTATGCATGCACAAGCAGTCTGTCTAAGAAAGCCCAGTCCTCCAGAGACCCGTTCACGAAGGCTTTTGGATATTTGCATAACTCCTCCCAAGAGCCAGCCCACTGCTTGCATCAAAGCTGAGGGCTCTTGTGAGGAATACTGAGGCAGGGTGTTGTGATGTTTTCAGGAAGTTATGTATGCACGCTTGCTGTGTGAATGAATTGATGTATCTCTGATCCAGGATATACTGCAGCCAAAGTTTTCCAGGCACACAAATGCAAAAACTGTTTTTTCTTGGATGATCAAGGAATAAAAGACTGAAAGGTTATGGGAGGATGATATCTCCAGAAACTAGGGATGCTCAGATACCAGTGCCGATACTTGGCATTTTCAGGAGAACTACCAGGGTTGCAGCTGGGACCTGGCTCTGGCGCTCCACCACTGTCCTGAAATCATTCGTCTGTATTGTTTTAGAAAAACTGTCACATGACAATAAACAAAAATGTATCAGTACTTGTGTCTGTGAGGACTTGGACAAGTATCAGTACTTGCACTTGGTCTGGAAAAAATGGTATCAGTGCATCCCTAAAATATATATAAAACAAATCATACATTAAAACAGAGATGCAACAATCCCAGAAGCCCCATAGCCAATGCTCCTTAAAAATGACAGCTGCCTCTTAACTTTTGAGTCTTCCTTCAGGCTGGGTTCACACCTAGGCGTATCGAATATGCACGTTTGTCACGCGTTTTTACCGCGATTCGCGGTTAAAAAAACACGCGACAAACGTGCGTTCCCGAGGGCTACTTGGCTGTATCTCAATGGAAACGCGCGACAAAAACGCCCCAAAGAAGCTCCTGTACCTCTTTGGGCGTAGGACGTTTTGTAGCGCGTTCAAAGGCCTGTAATACGCCCAGGTGTGAACCATACCCATAGGAAATAATGAGATTTCGGTGTTTGAGCGTTTTGCAGAGCGTTCGAACGCGCTACAAAACGCCCAGGTGTGAACCAGGCCTTAGTCTAGTCTTGGAGCTTGAAAAGTATCTGTACTTGTGCCGAGTACGGTTCTTGATATCTGAACATCCCTACCAGAAACACAGTAGACTCTCTGGAGCAGAAAAAGTACGGTAGAGCAGGGGTGGACAACTCTGACCCCCCAGCTGTTGTGGAACTTCAAGTCCCATGAGGTATTGCAAGACTTTTGACAGCCACAGGCATCACTCCCAGATGCAGATGCATGATGGGACTTGTTGTTTCCCCCACAGCTGGAGAGCCAGAGTTGCTGACTCCTGCGGTAGAGCATTGGGGAAACGGAATGGGTAGACAGACAGAATTAAGTGAGCAGAGCAACGCACAAGTGCACATAGCGTGTGGCATAGTGCTGAGGTGTGCAATGACCTTGTGTAAACTCTCTCAGTGGTTGGCCCTGCCAGCTGCCTTCTGCCTGACATCTTTTGATCAGGACATTGAAGGAGCCAGGCAGAATATTCTTGGCCTGAAAGTGACTGCAGTCCATCAGTTACTGTCACCAGTAGACGTGCTGGGGTAGAAACATTGTGGTAGAGCATTGGGGAAACCGGATGGGTAGAAATTAGGGATGCACCGATACCTATACTAGTATCGGTGCCGATACAGAGTATTTGGTCAAATGCTCCAATACCTTTCCCTATACTGGAACTTCTGGTCAAAGGGAGATTTCCTCTGACCCGCAGTGCCACGAGGAAACATGGAGCCGGAAGCTGGCTCCATGCTGTTTGGCCGGCTCCATGCTGATTGGCCGGGAATCCGGCTTCCCAGCCAATCAGTGTCGAGCCGGGCAAACAAATCTGATAATATGGCGACACGACCCCCACCCTGCAGACACCTAATTCTCACATAGATCCTGAGCAACAGTCATTACTGTACCAGTCCCTCAGCCAGTTGGGCAGACACCGCTCTCCCAGATCCTCCTACGTCTCCTGTGTGCACAGCACCCGCGTGATCGGCCCTCAGCCTGCTACTGCGCATGCACAAGATTTCTGAATGATCGCTGGGCAGTCTGCGCATGTCCAGTAGCAGGCCGAGGGCTGGTCACGTGGGCGCTGTACACAGGAGACGTGGGGAGGTCCGGGAGAGCTTGAAGAGCGGTGTCTGCCCAGCTGGCTGAGGGACTGGTACAGTAATGACTGCTGCTGAGGATCGATGTGAGGTGTCTGCAGGGTGGAGGTCGTGTCACCATATTGTCAGATCTGTTTGGCTGTCCTCGATGCCGATTTGGCTGGGAAGCCGGCTTCCTGGCCAGTCGGCATCGAGCTGGTGAAACAGAATGCAGTCGGCTTCCCGGGCAATCAAGAAGCTGGGCGGTGGGTAACGACACGCCGCCTGGCTTCCTGACTGCCTGGGAAGCCGGCTCTATGCTACCGGAAGTATCGGCACTCGGTATCGGCGAGTACCGAAATATAACTATCGGTACTCGATGCCAAAAAAAAACGCTATCCCTAATAGAGATACAGAATTAAGTAAGCCTGTTGAGTCATCAATGAAGAAAATACTTTTTGAATTGTAATATTCGGAAACAAATGTGTAGCGATGGATTTGTGACTCCCAGAGGGACCTCTGGAGCAGGCTGGTTTATCACACAGTGATTTCCACCAAGTACTGGAGTTTTCACTTCGGCAGCGCTGACCAGTTTTCTATAAAGAAAAAAGAATCTATATTATTGCTACAAAGGCCATTTTATAATATAAAGGGTCATTTTAGCCCAAACAGGATATGAAGAGAGAGGTTTGTTGCACTCCTTACCGGACAGCCCCGAATATGGGGGGGAAGGGTGCTTGGAATGACCGCGGATGGCGCCGCCAGTTGCAGATAATATAGAAATGTCACCAGCACACCAGACTCCTTCAAGGATAATCAATCGTGGAATCATTCAGAACTTATGTCAAATACACTGCTATACCTGATGAAGTGGCCCTGTGTGGCCCCAAAAGCGCTTGTGTATTTGACATAAGTTCTGAATAAATCCACAATCGATTATCCTTGAAGGAGTCTGGTGTGCTGGTGACATTTCTATATTATTTTAGCCCAAACTCTGTGCCGTGACAGGATCGAGAGGTGGGCGAACGCCGGTATGTGTTCCCTCACCTCCCGATCTACTGAGCCGACCTGTGACAGTCTCATTGTCACAGGTCGGCTTAGAACCAAGAGGTGAGTGGAAATCACTCATCTCATAGTTCTCCTTTAATAGAATAGGATAATTTTTTGTTTTTAATTCTGTACCACCTTTTGGGAATATTCTTTTCTGATGACAACACTGAGACTGCTCAGTTGCCTGTCATGTAGGCAGACTCCCCCACAAAGCAGTCAGTTTGAAAAAAAGACTTTGTGAGGTTTGCATCATATTTCTCTTTTTATAATAAATATAAGGTAAGAAACTTTTAAGAACTGTTTAAAAATTCTTACAGGGTATATAGTTTGACAGGAGGGGGGTTTTTTGGAGCAAAAATTGAAGTTTCACTTCACGGAAAATTGGAAAAGAAAGCTTCAGTGCCTCGCTAAATCCTTCTGATCGATCCCGAGCCCTCTTGCCTGGCTGACGGTAATTGTCGGGCTCGTGGTGTTGACGTATGCTCAGACACGATGATACACACAAGCGGCCTTTCTCATCCGCGCTTCTGCTTGGAAACCGAAATAAGTTTGTAATCCATTTCATCTCTTGTGGAAGTCGAGTGACAGATGTGGAAACACAGGATATGAAACACAAACAGTTCTGTTTCCGACCGCGCGGAAGTTACACAGGGACACAGGCCAGGCGTCGTTTATGAAATGGCAGCATTCTTTGCCGACATCATTCCGCACACTCATTATATAATGAAGCTGCTTGATGTAAAGCGTCTTCTGCGCTTAGGGAGGAGTTTATTTTTAAAGCGCAGCTCCAGCTTTAGTTAAAGGAGAACTATGAGGTGAGTGATTTCCACTCCTCCTCATAGTTAA